GCAATGGTAAGGTGCTAAGCAATTCAGTAAGATCCTTTCTCTAAATAAAATACAAAACAGGGCTAGGGATGTGGCTCAGTGGTTGAGTGCCCTTGAGTTCAATCCCTACTACCCTCCCCCCCAAAAAAAGATACAAATTACAATTAATGCTGGGGAGAATGTGGGGGAAGAGTAACTATACACCATTGGTGGAAATGTAAATTAATACAGCCACTATAGAAATCAGTGTGGAGGTTCTTCAAGGGGCTAGGAATGGAACCACCATATGAACCAAGTATACCACTCCTTGGTATTCTCTGAAGTCAGCATACTATATTGAATGTATGCACACCCATGTTTATAGCAGCACAATTCACAATAGCCAAATCATGGAACCAGCCTAGGTGTCCATCAACAGATAAAAGAATAAAGACAGTGTGATATATACACACAATGGCATTCTATTCAGCTATAAAGAAGAATGGAATTAGTCATTTCATAAAAATAGATGGAACTAGGAAGCATCATGTGAAGTTTAATAAGCCACACTCAGACAGTCAAGGACTTTATGTTTTCTGTTTTATGTGGAAGTCAGGGAGGAAACTGAAATGAAAAGGAAGAAGAGGGAAAGGGAGAGACATCTCATGAAAATAGAAGGGAAATCAGTAGAGTGGAAGAATGGGATTGGGGAAGAGAGAGGAAGGCAAGAGGAGTTAACTGAAATTGAACAAAATGTTATGTGCTTGTATGACTATGCCACAATGAAACCTACTCTTCTGGATAATTGCTGTGCATCAATAAAAAATAATAGATTTTAAAAACTTGAGCTAGAAATGAATACCAATTTTATACACAGGCTATCAGATAATAGCAAAAGAAGCTATTTCTAAAATTTGGTAAAAGGCATTACAAGAGATAAAAATTTAAATCAATATCCCTTATAAACAAAGACTAAGACAAATCTTTAACATGAATGAATATTTCACAAAACATTAACAAATCAAGTCTTAGTAATATACAGGAAAGACAATAAATCGTGATGATATGGGGGTTTATTCAAAGAATGCAAGATTAGACGAAAAATTCAAAACAATCATTATGAATTATCACACTGACAGACTAAAATTAAGAAAACTCATGAATCTCTCAACAGATGGAAGTAAAAATTCAACACACTCATTAAGCAAACAAACAAAAAACCTCTCAGCAAACTAAAAATAAAAGGTTACCTTTATGTAGATAAGTCATTTACAGTAAAACGTATAGATAACATCATATTATATATAACAATATATAATACTGAAAGCCTGCCCTCTAAATTTGGGAAAAATGCAAAGACGATCATGTCCCATAATTTACTGATCAGTGTATGAGAGGTCCAAAAAAAAAAACAAAAGAACTATACACTGCAAAATAATCAAAGGTATAAAGTATGGAAAGGAATACATAAAATTCTTTTTATTTATGGATGAAATGATCTTAAAGAGCCCAAACCAAAGCATGCAAACAAGCAAAAGCTTCCTTTATAATTAATGAATGTGGGAAGGTCAAAAGATCAAGATCAATTAATTAGTTGCACTTCTGTGTTTAATTACTGAACAATTGTAAAGTAGAATGTGAATATACTGTGAGAACAGCACAAAAGTCAAAATATAGAGAGTTAAATTTGATACTATGTGTGCAAAACTTGTACACTCAAATACAGAAAAAAGGCTAAAAGAAATTAATGAAGACAAACATAAAGTAATAGATAAACATCATCTTCATGGATGGGAAAATGCAATATTTTTAAGTGTTCCGTTATCCCCAAATTGATTTATATGTTTAATACAGTCCCAAACAAAATTCCAGCAAGCTTTTGTATAGATCTTGACAAGCTGATACTAAAATCTATATGAAAAATATGGTCTCTATAATAGTCCTTACATATATCCTAAGTTATGTTAATCAAGATGAAGAGGTATTAGACCAAAGAGGCACAGATTAATAGAGCAGGAGATACCAAAATAGACCAGCTGTCATTGAGGCAAAGGAATTTTTTGGCCAAGTTACCAAAATAATTCAAGAAAAAAAGGGAAATATTTTCCATATAATAATGTTGGAGCAACTATCTATTTGAAAAACAAAAACAAAATACTAGACTTTAACCTATACCTCACACCATAAAAACATAATTTGAAATGCATCATAGGCCTAACTACATAAGGAAAAATCTAATTTTCCAGAGGAATGCAGGACTGTTAATACAGGACAAAGACTGGTGATACAAGACTTAGAAAGCACTAACCATAATAGAAGAAATTCATAAAACAAACTTCATAATTGTTTAAAAAATTATATCTATCAAAGAAAAAAGGAATTCATATACTAGGTGAAAATATGTATAAGTTTCATATTTGACAAATGACTTGTATTGAGAATGTGTTGTGTGTGCACATAGGTGCGTGTCCTATAACACATTAGATTAAATCACAAATGACCAAAAAGTGGGTTAAAATGTCAAAGGACACTTCTTCACAGAAATAACTAGTAAGTAGTGACCTATAAGCTCATAAAAAGTATTTAATGACACTAATCTCTGAGAAGTATAAATTAAAAATGACATTCTACCACTACTCAGTGGTATGGCTAAAATTTTAAGGTTTGACAAGTCCAAAAGTAGTGAAGAAATAGGGCACTTGCATTGTTAATGGAGGTGGGAATTGATGCCACCTCTTTGGAATAGATTTGGCAGGTTCTCATAAAATTAAACATACACCATCCCTCAGTCCCCAGAACTTTCCTATTATAAACCAAGAGCATATGTCACATGTTTACATTAGCTCCATCTTCTATAACACTTGGCTTTGGCTGATTGATACAATTATGCTGTCAATAAAACCTATTCTAGATCCAATCCCCTTCCTCTCATCATTTTCATAGAGTACATAGAATGCTTGTTAATGAATCAAAGAAGGATTCATAAATGCAAAGCATGAATGTGAGCTCAGATATCATATCTGAATTCTAGCACTAGCTGGCCCAGAACAGAAGCTAAGTAAAACAAAGCCACCACCCCTCTGGTACCACTGGGTGTACAGATCTGAATGGCTCATTGTCTGGCTTTCCTTTCTGGACAGAGCATCTGGTCTAGTGGGTCCACACGTCTTTTTCACTCTGATGGTGTCCATGCTACATTCAGAGCAGGGCTTCTGTGTCAGGGTAGCTACTCACGTGACTATGGTGGGCAGACTTGTCCTTTATTTCTATATAGTTTCTATGCTTTGACAATTACTTATTAATTTATATAACCTCCATGATTGTTCCCCAGAATACAAGTCTCAGAAGAAAATCCCAATAAAATGCTCCATAATTAAGAAATCTGGAAACATATTTGAAAATATCCTGCCAATAATAATCCAAGTCACTGTAGATATTCATATCAAATGTTATATATTAAAGAATCTATGAGTCCTGAATTAAAATAACTCGATTAATACTGCTCAACCTCACCTATGATATTTATTTGAAAGCCTTTGTCAAGTAACACCTATGAAAGCCTTGTGGAAATAATACTTAAAGCTAATGTTTACTGAGCATTTAATACATAGAAATATACACTAGTACCCGCTCTGAGCACTTTAAAACAACCTGATGAGGTATTGGCAAGCATTTGCCTACTTTAAATATTAAGAAATTGAGACTCAGAGAGATTCAGTGACTTTTCAAGGTCATGGAGTTAAGATGCACAGAAATCACGATTTCAACAGGCTGACTTCTAAAGTAGAGATAATGCATTGCATGATGTAATCCATAATGATTTTTAGTAGTGCTTTCAGGATTTAACATTGAAGAACTGCTAACATCATGTACTTTAGTCTTTAGGCAACTGAGGAGCAGAAGCAATGACTTATCCTGAACAAATCCAGTAAGACTTGAGAGATATACACATTTTAGGCTTTGCCTCTATCTCATGTGTAATGAAATGTTCAGGTGCATCCTGTTTGTTCATTAGTTAAAAAAAAAAAAAAAGATTTATTCCCAGTGCAAAATGTACAATTATCAGCTGTTTTTTAATTTTTATTTTCGCTTTCATTATGAATATTATAAGCTTTATCAAACAGTAGAATCCAGGATGTTTCTGAATGACCTCATTGCATGTGTGATGTGAAGACATCATTTCTTTTCTCTCAACCACTGAAAAAGATTCTGAAAGGGATTATTTGTCTGGGATACTGTATTAGGGGAGAGACCCAAAAATAATGTTAGACAGCCTGTTTTAGAGCAACAGCTCACACAAGAAGGCTTTATAATTTTTATTTATTATGTAAAAATAGGGTAATATTAACATAGGAATCATTTTTTACATTATTTTAAGTTAATTTTTTTTCATTTTAGCAGTTATAGCTATTGGTACATTATATAAACTACTTGAATATTGACACATAGTATGTAAAATGCTAATTTTAAAATTACATTTTTCTGCAAGAATACTCTATCCCTTAACTACTTGCACACAATTAGATGGTTGCTATTTGTGTTTCATTTTTATAGATAATTCTATGAACTTTCATAGATACCTAATTGCCTGTTAGGTGATTTATGTAGGAAAATCTCCAAAAGCATTAAGTCATAAGGTATGATCAACTTTATGAAACTTGAACTCTGCTATTAATGATTTCTAAAAGTAACATTATAATTCACAAACAACATATGACTACCAATTTTATTACATCCTGGTAGCTATGAATATTTTCTTTATTTTCCACTTTTTATGATGGAATAGGTATAAAACTGAGCCTCATGATTGTATGGATTTTTTGAGCAACAATTTGGGTACTAAGGTACTAACATTACCAGGGAAAAAAAATAATTTGAGTATTTTCACATAGATGGAAACTTTTGCTCGAGTTCTCATTCAAACTTTGATTCATTACTATGCGTCAGAGGCCATGCTAGGAGCTCTCAGTGTTTCCCGTTTTCCTATTCACCACTTGTTACACTTGGACTTCACAGATCCATCTGCTGAGTGCATTCATTACCTTTCTGCTTCACCTTGGCTGCTCTGTCAACTTCTCCTTTGGCATTTCTAGCATGACAGACATAGTCGCGCTTGAGATCTTCAGGAGTAACTTTCTTGATGCTCAAAATCTGAGTTCTTGTTTCATCTTCTGTTTTAGTATAACTTATGCTAGACACAAGGAAAAGAAAACCAAAGCATTCATGAGACTCAGAGGCCATTATGCTCTGTGAATCAGACAAATAAGCACCCACAGAGCCCCTACCCAGGTGAGGGCAGAAAGAATGCTAATGAGCAGTGTTACTTGCAATGCAGTGACCATAAAAGGGAAAGAGCTAGATATCAACAAGCTCTTCACCATCTATACTGCACACTATCCTAATGTCTAGATCAAATCCCAATGCTAATTTCTTGCTAGAGCTTTTTCTTCAAAGCCAACTGTCTCCTTCACTCAAATTTCTGAGGCAGGATGCTGTATTGATTTAGAAATAATCTTCTGGGATCAGACCTATTTGGGTTTTGATCCAGGTTTTGTCATTTAGTGCTATAAACTTCGGGCAGTATGGCTAATCTTTCATGCGGTGTGCTCCAGTTTTGGAAAAGGAAGGTAGTAATCCCTACAAGGTGCATTATATGAAGTAACTTACTGAAGAAATCTGAGAACTGATTATATTAATGCTTAAGTATTAGAACAATAATAGCTTAATAAATGTTTGCTGAAGACTATTATTATTATCCTACAATAGTAGATGCTGTACTTCGGTAATTCCACCGAAGTACAGCATCTACTATTAGATTCTGAACAAAGGTAGAATATTTGGATGAAGATACGGAAATCTCATGGTTAAATCCTAACAGATAAAGGGAGGATCTGCTCAGAGCAAGAAAACTTTGTGAAATTAAATATGTTCAAACTTCAGTAAATTAAAGATCAAGAATTTGGGGTCTAAGATCAAGATTTAAAATTCTTTTGTACTCCATTCCTTTAAGAGGAAAAATATGTATCTCCTATAGCAACTGCCATCCAGGTTCTCCTTTGGATGAAGCTTATTGTCTGTCAGTCAGGAAAATTTGATTAAGGATTCTTATTGGTTCAGTCCAAATTTGACTCCCCTGCTATTCTGAGCACTGAGAATGTGTTTCAATAGCAGCAAGGAGGAACAGCATGACTTCATTGCTATTCATTCATTATTATTATGAAGATGGGAAACATGATGTTCAGAATTCCTGAAATGATCAATAATAATTCTCTCTTGGAGCCTCTAGCCCCATCTTTCATCAATTCCTTCTGAAAAAAAAAAAAAACAGCTCAATTTCAGAAAGCTTCTTTTATGCCTTTCAATATGCTCTGCTTCTCTAAACTCCAGGCCTTTACGCAGGATGTTCCTTTTACTAGGAACATTCTATTCATTTCTTTAACTAGAAAAATTTCTATTCATCCTTCAAATATTGATTTTGGTACTGTATCATCTTAGAAGCATTACATAATCTCCTTAAACTGACTGACTCTCCTATTAAATCCTCCGATAACATCCAATGCATCTCAGTCACTGCATTTATCATATTGTATTGAAAATATTGCTCTATCATTGTTACTCCTACTGTACCTGCAGACATTTTATGATTTTTGTGCAAAATTTGAATTGACTGTTAGGAGAAAGCATAGATTTAGAATTCTAGAAATTCAAGTGGCTTAAGGTCTATTTGCACATAAGTGATAAAGCTTAAGGTCTTGAAACTACTTTGCCACATAGTTGATCAGCTAATCTCATTGCTAGCTGCAGTAAACCAGTTGCTCTTTGGCAATGGTATACTTCATTTACAGAGAAGTCTTCTGTCTTTGATACTTTTCTCTTTTCCATCTCCCTTAAAAAATCAGGTAATTTTAAGGGTAGAGTGACCCAGTTTGTTATTTTATGAGTGAGCTATATTGTTACCCATTCACTTTTAAAACAAAACTTCATGAACATTTATTTGTTTATTCAATATTTTCAAAGTAATTATGAAGTATTTGAGAAGGATAAAGACAAGGAACTACAAGAGCTAACCCATAATTATCTGAAGCATAAGTACATGGGCACATACAGGATTGAGAAAAAGAAAACAACTACTTTCAAGTATATTCAACCTTATTTTGTAAGCTGTCCATTCATGTAAGATGTACATTCCATCTAATTCCAATTGACATCAAAAATATATGAATCCTGTAGGGCTTAAGAAGCAGTATGGTACATGCCCCGCTGGCAAACTATGATGAAGATGCCTAGCCTCAGGTCATTCTAAGTCAATTCTTGGGTGACATGTAGTCCATGAATGACAAGTCTAGTATCCCTGCTTTGAGATGTAAGCATTAAATATATGAAAATTTTGTTAGTTATAGGCAAAAATGAGAATTTTTACTTTCGTTAACTAATATAAATCAAAGGGCCTTTGACTGATGAACAAAGGTTAATCACCCCTTACATGCCCGCATGATACCTTTCATTAATGGTTATGTCAATAGTGATGTCATCAGGTTTTTTCCCATCAATGGTCCACCAAACCTCATTGTGAGAGTCCTTAATGAATGTAAAAAAGACTCTACAGGGGATGAGTAGCTCCTCTCCTTAAAAAAAAAAAAAGAAAGAAAGAAAAAAGAAAAAAAAACAGGTAGCAGATAATGTTAATCTGTGTTAAGACATCATTTTTCAACTTTCACATGACTCCATTGGTCTAATTCTCTTGTAAACTATCTTAATGCAATCTGCCATACTTTATTACAAAAAAAATAATAATAAAATAGAAGACAAAATCAATAAAAGAAGGTCAACAGCTTTATTTAAAATTACTAGAATGGACACATTTAATGCAATCTACATATTCTGTAAGTGACATTGTTTATTCAAAAAGGCACTGGCAATAGCTTTTTAGTCTTAAATCTCTATGGAATGCTCCTCTTTTCTGTTATTTCTCTCATAAACAAAGGGTGACCAAGAAAAGACTCCCCAGATCTTTGGTTGTTGTCCAAGGAAGATGGAACATTCCATCAATGAAGAGAACTGACCACAAATTCCTCATTTTGAAACTCTCGTGATATTGGGGTGGATTCAATAAACTTACAGGCAATTTAAAAATAGAAGTTCCAAAGTATGCTTCTGAGATGGAAAAATGAGATTAGGGAGATCCCCAGACAGAGAGAAGAGTAGTTAACAGTAACAGCAGCAGCAATCTACACACTGGAATTTTGCACAAGTAATTGTGCTAAATATTTATATCAATCAAGGTCATTTAATCTTAAGGATATACTCATGTTTTACAGAAGCAAAAACTGAGTCTTAGAGACAGTTATAGTGTGGATCTTAAATGTAACACAAATCTCATATGCTAAAGGCTTAGTCCCCAGCTGTAGGCACTTTTGGGAGGTGGTAGAACCTTTAGGAGTTGGACCCCTTCCCTCCCCTTGCTTTCTGGCCATCTTTGGTTTATCACACATTTACCACCAAGATGTTCGACTTTACCACAGGCGTGGAAACAAGAGAGCCAGCTCTCCATGGACTGAAACCTCTGAAACTTAGCCAAATAAACCAGTCCTCCTTTAAAGTTGTTGTTTCAGGTATTATGTCACCGCAACAGAAAGCTACCTTACACATAAATGATAAAAGACATTTCTAGGTCAAATTATTATAAGTATTAGGCCAGAATTTGACCTAAACTGGATTTCCCATCTTAGCTTACTAAGAAGAATACTCTTTTATGCCTGGATTCCTGGTGAGTTATTAATAGTGACTATTTTCACTCTCAGAAAGTGTCAGGTTTAGAGGATTGGTTACCTGATCACCCTGATTTGTACTTAGGTTGATCTAACTTTGGGATCATATTCTATGATGTATAGTTCGTATGTCTTTCTCCTCCAGTTTCCTAGATCAATAAAGTGATAAAATGAACATCAAGTCCAGAACTGTTTTTGAAAACATAATATTATAAGTAGGTGAAACATATTTTAGTGATTAATAGGAGTTTACCCTGACAGTGGGAAGAATGTTCATATTATTATACAAAGCCAAAGCCAATTCTAGGAAGTTCAGCTTATTTGAGATTGGCAGATCCCATAATGTAATCTCTATTTTTTAAATAAGGCAAACAACTTTTGCAAACTCATTTTAATTGTTTTGGTATTGCTGTTCTCCATTCATGCTGATCATTGGATATATTATTTTTAGAACATTTTATACACATTCTCTTTCATATTGCATACCGAATGAATTTATTATAAATGATACAATTTAGAAATTGTTAAAGTTTTTCTATAGTTTTCTATTCACTTAACTTGGGAAATTTTGAGTCAGAAGGACATAAATTATTTCTTATTTAGACAGTTATAAGCAATTTTTTTCCAGCATGAAAAATTACAAAAATAGGAGAGTCAGAGAGCCATAGTAAACATTCTGTGGTGTTCTGAATCTAGGTGTATTATCTCTATCGATTTAGACCTCTGAGAGCCACGGTCCTGTCTCCAAGTTTCATCCTCTGCCCTTTTTATAGTGAAGCAGAAGGTTGAAGGATGTCCTATGTTCTTATTGCATCCTCAGTAAGCCAAAACCTTGTGCAAAGTCAAGTTTGCATCACACAGAAATCACCAATCAGCAGAGGAAAACTGCTAGCAGAAGGGAGCAGATGCTGAGAGAGAAGCAAAGATTCCCCGAGCTGCCCTTGAGATCAGTGAAGTAGCTGATCCCCAGAACTGCCAACATTTCAGTTCAAATTCATGTATTTCTTTATAATAGTCCTTATTGTCTTGTACTAAAGTTTCCTTTTATTTTTTGTAATTAAGAGAATCTCAGTGAATTTTAGAGGCACAGCTATAATTACCTGGTTCTTTCTCATAGACCACACGATCATTGGGTGAATAAATCTGGGGAGGTAGTGCATCTGTTGGAGAGCCTGTGATGGACGGAAAATAAAATAAAGGGAAAAAAAGAGAGATAGTATTAAATCCTGCAGCCTTATTCCAAAATCTGTGAAGCTTTTCCAATTTTCCTGGTACAATTTTTCAATTCTAAAGAAGGCACATAGTTTTATTCTAATATGAACTCAATTACTACATTTCATTTAAAACAAGCAAAGTGTAACATAATAGGGAATATGTATTTGATCTCTGTTACCAATTCCTGATATAGCATTCCTAAAACCTTTGTAATATTTTAGTGTTTATGGGTAATATGAGCATCATTTGTCTTTGTCTCTAGTTATTTGATGTTAAGTCCCCAGTTCCTGACTCAAGAACTTGTAAGACTCTTGGTGTATATGGAGTGAGATATCTTTTTGTATGTTAGTTTGAAGACTCATGGTGTAAGTCCCTAGATAACTTCAGAGCAAGAGATATTCCCAGCCAAGATTAAAAAGCTAAAACTTTCAGCCCCAACTCCCAGTGTGCAGAAAGGAGACAAGGGCTGGAGATTGAATAAATCACTGATGGCCAATGATTAAGTCAATCATGTCTATATAATGAAACCTGCATAAAATCCCTAAGCAGTGAGGTTTTGAGAGCCTCCTGGTTAGTAAATACATCCATATGTGAGGTTGGAAAGTGGATGGTATACTCCAATACCATGGAGACAGAAGCTCCTTCACTCAGGATCCTTCAAATCTTGCCCTATATATGTCTTTACCTGGCTGTTCATTTGAATCCTTTTAAATAAACTAGTAAATATAAGTAAAGTGATCACTGTGAGCCATTACATAAGATCACAGAATGAGAGGAGGACATTGTGGGAATCCTCAGAGTGTAAGCAAGTAGGACCCTAGCATGGGTGACTTGGGGACACACTGCTTGAAACTGGCTTCTGATGAGGGACTGAGGCAGTTCTGAGGGACTTAACCTTAACCTGTGGGGTCTGTCCTAGCTCCAAGTAGTTAGTATCAAACAGAATTAAATTGTAGGAAGCACAGATGGTGTCCACAGAGAATTGGAGAATTGCTTGGTGTGGAAAACTCACACGTTTGGTCACAGAAGTGTTGCCAATAGAAACAGGTTTTCCTTTACAAAGAAACAAATACACATATTGAGTTTCCTCCATATTTCAGGATAGAGGGTTTAAACAGTGTTCTTGACTTCTGAGGCTTACATGAGATACATTTCCATACTACATTACAATTAACTGCTTTCACGTCTTCATTATTTCTTCTCTCTATATTTCCTTTTCTTTTTGAAATGCCAAATTAATTTTAGATCAAAAATATGGCATGATAGTAGTATATATTTTCAACTTGTAATCCATGATTATTAGTTATGGTTATTATCTAAATATTTCTCCTCAAAATGCTCAGTGTCTAACATAGGATCTGGTTAAATAAATATGAATGCAGAGATCAGCAGAAATTAAAAAATAATTAATGATAGCCCATATGTCTAAGTAATAATGAGATATCAGATAAATGTTGGGAGTACTACTTTTTATAATAATCTATATTCATAAGTTGAAAGAAAAATACCTTGGAGGTGGTTTTAAGGGTCAAATATTCAGTGGCCAGATTCTAATCCTGACCATGTCACATGCTAACTCTATGAAGACAAATTTTTATTAACCTTTGAAAGTAAGTTTTCCTTAACTAAGGATAAATAAAACTTACCTCAGAGTTTCAGCTTGAGGAATAAATTTAAAAATATAAATTAAGTAATCTCCCAGTGATATATAATAAATATTCAATGTTTTGCAGCTTTAAAAAATGAATTTTTGTTGCTTCAATGTTCAGAACCACTTCACCCTTCTTGGTTCAAATTTTATATCTATAAATCAGGATGGCTAAGTACACCTGTTCCCAACTTTCTAAAAACTGACACATTGAAGTACATGTATTAGAAACAACTGCTGAGATGAATATATGCTTAGATAATTAGTTCATTTGACTTCTAAAAGCCTCTCATGCTAAACTGTAAATTTAGTCTTCCTTTTTGTCCTGAATTAATCCTAACCTCAGAATTATTTCAAAAGTAAACAAAAAAGAAGTGATTAAAAAATTATTTCATTTGAATTTTACTTGCACTTTGTTAAAAACTTTTTTTCTAATTTACAGTGAATCTGGTGTCAGACTAACAGACAAATCCCTGAGCACTGACCTGCATTTAGAATTACTTGTTCCACTTAATGGAGTGTCAAAACAGGTTACTTCCAGTTGCTGGGACTCAGTGTTTCCCTCTAATACTCCATCATTTTGAGCACAGTAGAGATGGTGGTATTTAGGGCTTAACCCCAAAAGCCACATGATACTAGTTCTCTTGATCTCTGGTTTTGATAGGAGTCTTGACTTTGTCTAGGATCGTCCATTTCCCCTCCCCCCGCCCCTATTTCTTACCAACTATTCTCTCAGTGCAAAATAATAGTTGAACACTGCTAGCTAATACCTATGGCAACCAATAACAACAGAAATTTCAATACATAGAAAGACATAGTTTACTTAATTCAAGTAAAATACTTTTTTGATGATAAAATTAATACCATTCAGTAAGTCTCCACTGCTTGCCTGGAACTGCACATATATATGCTATTTCTAATATTCTCAGTTATTTGGAGAGCTAGGTAGTCCTAGAGTATAGATTAGGAGACTGAAATCTTGACCAAAACCAAGTCATGTCGCTATAAAGCAGAGGTGATATAATTTAAACACCAATCTATCTAGTACACTTTCATTCCCATGTGCTTTACTTCATTCACTCACATATTCAGTCAACCAACAATTATTGGATGCTTACAATACACATAGAACTGCAGTAGTGAACAAAAGAAGTCTTTTATTTATTAAATGTAATAAATAATTAATAACCAAAACAAGATTATTGCATTTGTCATGTGTACTCAACACAAGTCATGCTTACCTACCACCTTTACAGTCAGAGACCTGGTGAGATGGAAGGTACGCCCATTTTCTGGATATGTGACAACACATGTATAATTCCCATTATTTGAAATAAAGGGAATGAGAAAGCTCAAGTTCATGCCTCCAGGTAATACATTAATAAAATTCTGTATTTTATAACAACCCTAGAAGAAGAAAGATGTAACTCGTTAGATACATGCATAGAAAACAAATGAACACAAATGCTCTCATATCTAAATTTGCACAGAGCATTCAAATATCTATGCAGCACATAGATTTTTTTACAAAACTGTTTTAGTCAAGTATCTGGATGATGTTTCTGCAAAGAACATGTGGAATAAATGTCCTTAACATTTCTTCAAAAGAGAAATGAAAATACTAAACTGAGATATGATTTCAAAAGCATAGGCTTCCTATCTCAGAATCCACCATTCAAATTCTCATAGTCTCATGTTTATAGTGAAGCAGGGTTAAGGTTTTTTTAAAAAAATGACTAAGAAAACTTGAGCAATTGCAAGTCCTGCTTAAGAGAACAAGTATAATGTTCTATAGTTTTTCAGTGATTATATTAACTAAGGAATCAAGCCATTGTTATCTGATAAACTAGGTTCCAATTTAAGATGTCTGATTTGGGCATTCTTGGTAACCCTGTAGAATTGCTACATCAGTCATTGCTGCTCTTTTATCCAATTTTCACAATTGACCATCATAGACTCCCGAATCCAAAAACCAAAGCTTTTTTCATCAGCCCCATCTAAGAGTTTATTTCTGCTCCTAACTCATATTTTCATATGAGTTGATGGTTAAATGTTGAGATTGTACTAACTCAAGTCCTGCTTTCTATCTCTCCATCTCGTTATGTGTGTGTGTGTGTGTGTGTGTGTGTGTGTGTGTGTGTGTATATATATATATTTATATTTATATAATCTTTAAAAAATGACTAAGAAAACTTGAGCAACTGCAATACACATATATATATATATATATTATTTTAAAAAACATCCATATATCCTCTGTGGCAGAAATACATGATGAATATTTACTTTTCAAAGAACTTTGTTTTTCTTTTAAGCATCAATGATTCATGAATGGGAAAAAGATTAGGTAATCTCTAAGGAACTTTAGATCTTTACATGCTGAGAATCTGTTACTGGTGTGTGTGCTCAGTTTCCTGGCCTCACATATTTGATTCTTGTATGCTTGAGGTTTTCTTTCTTCAATTCCTGGAGCATGTATTTTGAAATATGGCAATTTCCCTAAGAGGCACATTTTGCAATTCTGTGATACAGGAAATGTGTCTTTTAAGGACAGCCCTGAACTTTTGCTTCTTGGAGAAGGTCATCAAGAGGAGGCTGATGTTGTCTGTTCAGGTTAGCTTTTCACACTGCAGCTTCTCCTGTTTGACTAAGCACTGCTCCTGGACACTTGTCACGTCAGGAGAAGATTTTAGTACCCTGAGGTTACACACAAAGTATAAAGCCACAAAGAACCACACTCTGATAACGAGTTTATGTCAGATTGGGTTTAAACAGAGTTTAGAATGTATATAGAAAGCTCCTGGATTTTTGTGGCACCTTTCATTTAAACAGTTCAAAGATATTTTTCTCTCTCATTTGTTAGCTTAGTGTTCTTAAATCCCTGTGAAGTAGACACATCAGACTGAATATGCTCCAGTTTCAGAGAGAGGAAAAAATGAGACAGACAGATAAAGAGATCTCAGAGATAGCACAGTACAGAGCTGAAACCTAGTTCCACACAGCTGAAAAAGGTCTTTAAAAGGTCTTTCACTGGTTTCTTAACTAAGAATGAGCAACTCTCCCCAGCAGTGAGTTGATGCTATAAAGAATATACTGAAACCTGCACTTAACATGCACTGTATTATCTGATTCTTTTTCAAAAAAAGTTAGCAGTGTTCTTATCCCTACTTTATGGATGAGGAAATGGGATCTGTAAGTTACAACAGTCAGTGTCATAGCAGTAGGTAGTGTGAAAATTGGATCTATTTGTTTCAGTTGTAAACTCAAATTTATCTGTTTCAAAGCCATTGCTTTGAATCCCACCTGATACTTGTGTCCTCACTTCATACAGTGGCCCTGCACTTATTCTATGCCTGGAGTCAGCCCAGTGTTAATAGTTTGATTGGCTCTATCACTTTAATCAGACTGGTTCCTGCAGTTAGTGATAAACTAAAAAAGCAGACTTTTTCAGGATAAAAAGTCAAGCATTATTAATGAACCTGTCAACAGCATTTTGTTGGTGGAGTACTGGGGACCGAACTCAAGAGCACCTGCCACTGAGATACATCTTCAATCCCTTTTTAAAATCAATCAACCAACCAACTTCCTTCCTTCCTTTCTCTTTTTTAAGACAGTGCCTTGCAAAGTTGGTGATGCTGGCCTCCAACTTGTAATCCTCTTGCCTCAGCCTCCCGAGGTGTTGGAATTACAGGTATACACTACCACACGAGACCCTCAACAGCACTTGTATACGAAGGTGGTGAAAGGAACATTTTATAGCTGTTTTAAAGCTATGACATCTACAGAATTTTAAGAACATAAATGAATAAATGTGTGTATGTGTGCTGGTGGGGGATGTCAAGACATTATTAAATTATAAATGCAAATGAACTTCAGCCTGTAGTGTCTGGTGAATTCTTTTTCTTACAAGTAGCTCCATTTCTAGCACATACTCCTAAGACACACAGATGTTTTTGAACATAGAAATAAATCCTGAAAAACAAAATTCTGCAAATTTTATAATGACTTCAGAAATCAGAAGAAAATGGACATGAACAAAGAGTTGGATATTCAAAGAATACAAAACATACTTCCATATTTCCAAAAGCAAGAAATGAATTAATGGCAAGTGAATTTCTTCAATGAAGCAAATACTTAGCTAACTAGAAGATAAAGTCCTCCTAATTGACCCATCAGTTCCTCATTCTGCACCCAAAAGAGAGAAGTGAAATAGAAGAGCAACTTTTCAACCACATAACATTTGCTGTAATAACAAACCACAACCTACAGGTAAAGAAGAGCACAGGAAATGACTCTTGAGATCCTTGGACGGAAATGAAGCGTATGGGGAGAGGAAGGCTGTGATCAAGGGAATGTCACAGTGAAGTAAGTGTTTCCATTCAAGAAACCACAACACGCAAAGAACTGTGTGAATGCACAAAAAGAATGTTAAAAACATGTCTCCTAACTCACAGGGATTCATAACTTACTGGTATTCATAAGACAATGGAAAGCATACAGAGGCAGGGAGTACCTGAAGATCAAATCAAAAACACTGAAAAAAAAAAAACCTAATGGAGAGGGAAGACTTAGGCTGGTTCTTAAAGGATAAGTAGTATATTAATAGCTACTGAAAGACAGGAAAGAAAAACCCTCCAGACATAGAGAAAAGTGTGAAGAACTCACCTGCAACTCTCCTAGTATTATTTCCCTCCTTGTTAATACTTAAAAATTATTTCATTATGATGTTTTTTTTTTTATATAGAGAATGCCTCCTCCTCTAGAAAACTAACTCCTATAGGGGCCAGGAGGACGTGAAGGAGCACTATTCTCCATGGTCTGCAACTTGCCCCATGTCTGGCACATGGAGCTCAATACATTTGTGTTGCACCATCAAAAATGTGTCTGGAAGAAGCAAAGTTCCAAGACATGTGGAGTAGGTAAGTGGTAGTAAGCATGTGGAAGATAAGACATGGGTGGTGGGTTACAGGATGGATAGGGGAAGTGGGAATAAGACTACAAAGAGTTTAATTAAGATATAAGATCTGAAGAGTCAGGAATAGCTACTGAAGTTTTTGTATCCAAGATTAAGATGGCATAAAATACATTATATTTTGCCATGAAGTGTCAGAAGAGTTCTATAAACCAGTCTTTTCCAATAAACAGAGCTAAGTCATCCAATATTTATAAATATTTACAAAGTCCTTTCTCTGTGCCAGGCACTATTAGGAGCTGGGTGTATAACAGTCAGTAAAAATAGGAGTGGCACTTTCCCTCATGGAATTTTACAGTTCAGCCTAATTCATTAAATTATCCAATCAATTCCTAAGTGCAATATATATTGGCTCAGTTTTGTGCTGTGTGACTGCTATTTAGGGGAAAGAAAAGGAAAAAGAAGCTCACTACCTAGTGCAGAAGAGAAAGACAATTGCTACCAGAACAAAGATGAGATATAAATTAAGTTCTATCAAAATAGAAAGTAGGTAATTCATTTGGTATGATTCAGCCTCAAGGCTTCAGAGACATTTGCTTGAATTGAATTTTATTTAAGTGATGAATCTTGGTCCTCAGAGGATCTAAAAGTATATAAAATAACGTCATGCATATATGTATATGTAGAATTATGAGTGTATAGCTCTAAAAGAGAATATGATGCACACTAACTTCATGGCAAAAATTGAGAATCACTATTCTATAGAGACTATAGGGAAAGGAGAGTGAAAGAATCAATCTAGCCAAATTGTCAAACCAAATTGAAGCAAGCATTTAAAAAATAAAGTCTATTACACAGACCTTGGACTAACTTCCCAACAAGACATGCTATGCCAATGAAAAGACTTGGATTGATGCTTTTTAGAAATGTTCTTTCCTGATGGAACTTTGTCAGAAAAAAAAATCAAAGATTTTCCTAGTTTCTGAGAGCAATCCATAAACAATATCTGACCAGTTTGGATTAATTTCATACCCAAAATGACAAGTGAAGGCAACACACCCATTTTAATGATCACCATGGGTATGAGAACAATCAGTTCTTTAAAAATTAATATCCAGAATGTCTCTCACTCTGCTAAATGGCAGTTGAGAGAATGTCAGCAATTGCCACAAATGTAATATACAAAACGCCCAATAAAGTGTTCTCCTGATCCTAAGGGAAGTGGGGAAGTTGCCTCTGTTTCGCTAGTATCTCTCTAACATGAACTTTCAAATATCCAACTACAACAATGAGGAAGAGAATTAATCCAGTAATATGAAAGTGAGGAAGTCTTTCTGTATATTAAAACCCATTTCTTTAAATAAATCTAACAATAAAAACAACACCAACAGGATCACTTACCTCTGTCCTTCCTGCTAACATGTTTGGAAGTCCCTGTGTGAATAAACAGGCAGTCTCCCATTTATATACATACTGTGTTTCAGAAGTTCTGTGA